CGGAGGCGCAGGCGGGGACGGCGGCGACGACAACGACGGCGGTGACTACACGCGGTTCTACAGCCTCCTCGGCATGTAAAACCGCGTGGGCGGGCGGCGAGGCGGGTGGCGAGGGAGACGGCGGGGGTAGCCCGCGGAAGTTTTTTTTTCTTTTTTGTAAAATATGTTCAAGTTTGAACGAACTCGCCGATGTTTGCGTTAAATTTGAGTCATTTTTGCGCCGTTTTTGACTTTTTTGACCAACCGTGGGCGCCGCGACTGGGGGGCATTACGCCCCCAGTGCGCGGTTTAGCGTCGGCGCGCCCCCAGGGGGCGATAATTTGCCCCTCCTAGGAAACCAACGGCTGGAGATGCCCTAACAATCATAGTTCCCGCGGGCCTGTAGTTCAGACCCATGGGCAGCGTCTGGGCATGCAGCCCGGAACCCGGGCCGACACTTTATTCACACACATGGCGGAAGACATGGATGCATGGGCGCGTCGGCTGATTGCAGCGCGAAGCGACGAAGAGCGCCCATGAGGAATTGATAAAATAATCTTATCTTAAGTTTTGCATGTAATTTAAAGATGACAAAAAAGAGAGTCTACAATGGGTCATCTCTTAGGCTTATCTTAAATAAGTAGCAATTCCTGAAAACATGATGAGACATATTATGCTAAGAGATCATCTCTTGTCTTCTCTTAAATAAGAGAAGACAAGCCTTTTTTATGAGTTCTCTCTCCTCCACATCATCATTGATCCTACGTGGCACTCCTAAGATTGCACCATTGTACATGTCCTGACGCCAACTCCGACGGTACTAGAACGGAGGTCCGCTTTGTTCATATTTTGTACATTTGGGTCGAGAAAACGGACGGACGTCTCCGGCTTAGGACGTCAGACTGCTGGTGTACCCAACTTGTTGCCGCATCTCAGCTTGTCTGCCTTGCACTATTTTCTTTAAACAAAAACCGACCACACATTTAAAAAACATACAATAAACTTAATTAAAACTTATGACAAACTTAAAATAGTCTACAAAACTTCTGGTCACACATTTTAACTCGACCTAAAATAAAAAAAACCGAACAAGGTAGATTTTGCCACTGACGTGGCCGTCTATGATGCCGCTGTCGTCTTCAGGCACCTCCGTCCTCGTCCTCGTTGTCTATGATGAGGTTGATGTAGGCGGTGGCTGCCATAGGTGGGCTAGCGGCCCCTATGACGGCTGCCAGGCCGGAGGCGCCTGCACCACCATTGGCCGTGGCTAGAACAACAACCACGTGGCGGCGCCCACCCACACAAGCGGCACAGACACGTACTCCGGTGTGCACATCACCATCTCCATCTAAGTCCAAGACGGCCCCACCAATGCCGTGAAAGGTGGATCCTCCGCGGCCTCCTCCATGGCCTCCTTGACCTGCAACCTCAGGGTCGCAACGTCGCCTGCGGCGGAGAGGGCCATCATCTCATCGAGGCCCTCCCAATGGGTGCAGTCGTGCTCCTAGATGGAGCCCTCGAGCACCCTCCTCACTAGCTCCTCCTCGGTGGACATGGAAGGTTGTGGTGGCGGGGATGGCGAGGGGGAGGGCATTACCCTGCGCACGATCGCGCGCCCGGACTGGGCTGACAGTGTGCGCGGCTGGCAGAGCGCGCCCGTGGCGGGCTCGGAGCACAACCGACAAAAGCGAGCGCGCCCGTGGCGGGATCGTGCTCGTCCGCGAATCACGTGTACCAGAGTGGGGAGTCGGCGGAGTGCCTGGCGCCGTTGACGAGGTCTGTAGGCAGGCGGCGTCAGGCGGGCGCGGCGGCGGTTGATCTCCTCAAGCCACGCGCGGCCTCTCACCCGGATCGGAGGCACGAGCACCCGATCTACTAATAGGTGCCAGTTGTTGGGTTGGTGGACGTCGCTCCACAGCAGCAGCGTGCCCATCTTTCAATACCGCTGGTATATCTCGGCCTTTACGTACGACCACACGCGAGGGGGGCCGCAAAAGATGCTGAATGCAGACGGCTGCGGCCGGAGGACAAACCAGCCTCATGGCCGTGCTTCCCCTTGCCGGGGATCCACTGCCACACCATGGCGGCTGGCGAGGAGGTAGAGGAGTTGCGTCCGGAGCTAGGGTTTGCGTATCAGGGTTCAAGGAGGCATGCGACTCCGGGGATGAAAGTGTGTGGATTGGCCGATCCAGGTTTTCACATCAAAAAGGACGCGCCAGGGGCGGCCACAGCCGGAGGACGAACCAACCTCGTGATTGCGCTTCCCATTGCCGGGGATCCACTGCCACAACATGGCGGCTGGCGAGGAGGTGGAGGAGTTGCGTCCGGAGCTAGGGGTTTGTTTATCAGGGTTCGAGGAGGCATTTGGCTCCGGAAGTGAAAGTGTGTGGATTGGCCGATCCGCGGTTTTCACATCAAAAAGGACGCGCCAGGGGCGGCTGGGGCCCGAAGGACAAACAAGCCTCGTGGTTGTGCTTCTCCTTGCTGAGGATTCACTTCCACACCATGGCGGCCGGCGAGGAGGTGGAGCAGCGGCGGCGGGAGCTAGGGTTTGCATATAGGGTTCAAGGAGGCATGCAACTCTAAAATTGGAAGTGTGTCGACTGGCCGGTCCATGGCTTTCACATTAAAAAGGACGCGCACGGGGCAACTGAGTGGCTAACAAAGCAGGCTCACCCACGCGGGCCCTAGGGTGGATGAGGAGAGGACGCGTGCGCATCCGCTCCCTGTCCGTCGGGACGCAAACCAAAAACAAATTTGATTGAAAAATGGGTTGAGCCAGACACCAAAGGGTCACAATTTAGGGTTGCAGTCGAACGTTGGGTCATCGCGTTTGTCCATTTAAGGCAAAGCGGACACATGAGGATCATTGTAGTTGGCCTGGGTGCTGGCATCTACGATTTCATGGCTTTCAAGTTTGAACTGTCGGTTCCCTTAAAAAAAAAGTTTGAACTGTCGGCGCGATTCATGTCTTAATTCAATCTCAATCAATCAACGAATGATACTGCATCAGCGGACGTGCTAGCGCGGACGGACAGTGACGTCTACTTGTTTAGTGACTCTCAGCGGGAACAGTCCAACAGCGACGACACGGTTGCATGTTGAAAATGGTACCGCTAATGCACGAGGCTAAACTAGTGTAATTATCTGAGAGAAAACGACAGGTTTGCCTGCACTGCTAGCGCAAACTCGACGAGATCCCTCGTGATCAACTCAGCTGGTCCACGCGGCGGGGAGATGGTCCATGGTACTACGAATCCCACGTCGCCTTCGATCCCTTTCAGTGTAATTATTGACACACGCCACCAACAAATTGACCGCTCAGGCCTTTCACTATGTAATCGGTGCCTGATACACTAAAATATTACAGATTGGACATCAATGCTTTGAGAAATTTCTATGACACCGGTCACGTTACGTGCCTTTGCAACCCATAAAAAAGTGGGATCACATGTATACATAAAAAATGGAGCAAGTCATCTTTCCCTCAATCCTTCGTACGAGTTCACTAGTCCTCCTCTGTCTCATTCCCTTGATCCTTCACAGTTTAACATATTTTATTGCAATTCTAGAAGTGGACATCGGTGCACCAACTTGCTCCGGTTCCCTGAAAAAATATTATGGCACCAGCTAGACAATGGAGGACATCGATGCCAAATGAACCAAAAATATATTTGGCACCCCTTTTGGCCTACATAGTGGAGGGCCTCAGGGCACGTGTTCAATCGACTAATCGCTCCCTTTTTACGCAAACGCTTATATACATGCGCATACACTCATTCCTATGAACGTACACATGCACACTCTGCCTTTATGAGCACCTTCAAAAAACTGAGCTGGCATATCATCTTGAAATTTACGAAGTTACCGTAGACACCTCGTCGTCGACGGGGACGTCTCCTCTCACAGAATGCGCATCGCCAGAAATCCTGAAATAAATCCAGGAATAAATGCGAGCACCAGTGTTTAAACCCTGGTGGGCCAAAGATACCACAGTTTGTCGAAAAACAGTCAGACACAAGCACTCATGCATACACGCATATACTCACCACTATGAACGCATACACGCACACCCTATCCCTATGAGCACCTTCGAGAGGCGGAAATCCTGAAATAAATTCAGGAATAATGCAAGCACCAAGACTTAAACCCTGATGGGCTGGGGATATCACTGTCCCTCTAACCATCCAACCAATGATTGATTCGCCACAAGCATGTATTCTACTATAACTAATCTGCCGGCTCTGCTCTCTTTTTCAGTTTTACAAACCACTAAGACGGTGCTTGGATACGTTTTAGTCCCATGACTAAAAATAGTGGGACTAAAACATGCTAGCCTCACCCATGATTGGATCCAAATACTAAAAAGACTAAAATCAAGTTATTGAGCATTTATTATCCTCCAAACCCTCAAATCCAAAACTCGCATGTGTTAAAGGAGAGGAATTAAATGAGGAGAGGGAGAGCTAATACATATTTTAGTAGGTTTCCTATGACTAAAATTTTTTAGCCTTAAGACTAGTCGTAGCCTCTCTTTAGTCAGGGGTGTTTGGAACTTTAGCCTCTAAAATAGACTATTTTTAATCAGACTAAAAATAGTCCCTTAGATCCAAGCACCCTCAAACTTAATTAAACATGAGAAGTACAGGAGATATACTACTACTAATAATAGCGCCACAATGGTATCATTCTTCACTTAACCGCACTTAGCGTGTGTGTGATGGGACATCTAACCATCATTTGACGCTAATTTAATCCACGACCCATGAGAAAAACATAAGATTGTTTATACGCAAGGCGTCTTGCGGACATTCTCCCACGTCGTCCCATTTATACACAGTTATGATGGTTGCCCAAACAACTATTCCCTCCGTCCGGAAATACTTGTCATCAAGATAAATAAAAGAGGATGTGTCTAGATGTATTGTAGTTCTAGATACACCCTCTTTTATCCATTTTGATGACAAGTATTTTCAGACGAAGGGAGTATCTTTTTTTTTTGGGGAATTCAGAGAGCTTTATTATGGAAAAGCATTCGCTGGGCAGTCAGCCAACAGGCTGCTAACCAGGAAGCTAGGGGTAGAGTCTAGCCAGCTTTCAGTCATAGTAAGCGTACATGCACACTTAGCACACAAATATGCTGGACCGTTAGCGGCTCTAAATACATGAGCTATATGAAAAGACAAAAAGCTAGCAAAGAGCTCTCTAATTTTTAACATGATTGGAGCTACGACCGAGCGATCGATGTAGCTAGAGTTCCAGAGGTTAATTGCCACAAGACAGTCGGATTCCAGTCGCACGTGCGCGTAGCCTCGAAGCTTCGCGAAGATGACGCCCTCTCGCAAGGACAACACTTCAGCAATGAATGGATCTGTGACCCCTACATAGGGTTTGCACCATGCGCCCAGGACTGCCGATGAAGAGCGGGCTACTCCCCCCAAGCCGGTGTTGCCAGCATTGCGGTGAATCGCCGCGTCCGTGTTGATCTTGATACATTCATCTTCAGGAGGTTGCCAGCCATGGCCCGGCAGTGGTATGAAGCTCTGCCGGGGGATGTCTGATAGTGCCAGGTCTTCGCGAATGCGTCTAACCGAGGCCGCTGGATCAATGATCTCCTGGTCGTGTGTTCTCCTATTGTGAGACATCCAAATAGCCCACATGATGGTGATAATTGTTGCACAATCGTTTTCTGAGAATTGGCTGTCACAAAGAATATCACGTACCCAGGTGCTAGGATGGAGACGTGGCAGGTTAACCTCGAAAAGCAAGCTCGCCTCCTTCGAGAAACGCTTTGCATGAGAGCAATGAACAAGCGCATGCATTAAGTCCTCGTCCATGGCAAGGCACAACTTGCACAGACTTGTGTCTTTGATGTGACGGTGCCGTAGGGTAGACTCGTCCGAAATGATTTCTCTGATTACCCTCCACCAGAACACTCTGACTTTTGGTATCACTTTGAGTTTCCAAAGGCGACTCCATATCTGTTCTTCGTCCAATGATGGTCCCGCTACCTGCTCTTCTTCTAGAGCTAAACGCTCGTTTTGATTCACTAGAGCTCGGTACACAGTGATGGTAGTGCAGCAAAGACTACCCTATAAGTATGCCACTTTACAGTTCTTTTTCTCTTTTGCGGGTTCTGCATATACTAAATAAAAAGTCCATCCTCTCGTGTCACAGAGACACAAACAATGGTGGTGCTCATCTTACCAGCATATTTTGAACGCGTTCCTATGGATCCTTCACGCCATATACATTGCCATCGTCACTTTGATCGAACCGGACGAGCGTGACGTGATGTGTACAAGTCGCACATACACATCGCGCGCCTAATTCCCTGGTAAATCATCATCAGTCGACAAACGATGGTAAAAAAAGAAAGACAACTTGACTAAATTCTTGGACGAGAGAGCGTGCGTGTTAGAAATGTGGCATGCAAGTCTGGCATTGTTAGGCTGCTCTGCTCCCAAATTTGTTTGAGTTTTCTTTCCTCCGGTTTGGGTTTGGCAAGGAAAAGTCAGAACATCTCGACGCCGACGGATCACGGCCTCTCTGGCTGGCCGACGGACAAGCTGGCCCGTCAACCAGGGCGGTGAAACCAATCACACCACTGCCTTGGCCGACGGCAGAAAGCAGTCCGACGGGCGCGGTATTCCGACGAGAAGTATGTCCGTCGCGCCGTCGCCATAAATACGATGGCTACCGGCGATGCCGAAGCTGGACCAAGACAAATTCTTGCAGCCGTACGTTCTCTGCTGGAATGGATGTTGCAACAACCACTGTAGCTGTATCCACCCGTCCCCATCCACGTTTAAGCCACGCACGGACGCATCGGCCGATCGATCGTCTCGTCGCATCATCGAGCGTTAGCAGTGCCGTGTTGGTACGCCATGATGGGCTGATGATCATGTCCGTCCTGGCTATGTGTACGTACCTATCCACGCCGATCTCATCTGACCCGCCTCTGTCCATCCATCCGGCTCTACCTACGTGTGTGGATGGCCGTGTGTGCCCATCCCAAAAAGGGTCGGATGGCAGATGTGGTTACCAGGTTGAATTATGCGGCAACTTGTCGAAAACATCTGCGAAAGGCTCTGTTGGAGATGCCGTTTGCTACCAACTGATTTCCTCTTGTTCATGCGGGAGAAAAGATGAAGAATTTGTTTTGTTCGTCCAACTTGTCGACGAGGTTGATTGGGAAGCTTTCCGTGCCCCTAAGCAGCAGGATTCTAGCTAGTTACTCCTAGAGGGCGATCGAGCCTTCCTGTCTGCCATGGCCGATTCTGGGGCTTCCTTGTTCTACTGTTACGGTTGCCGTAACCAAAGCACGCATGGTTCGGATCCTGCGTCCTGCTCCCCGGATTCCCCGCCCGAAGCCCGTACCCACGCTTTACCCACACACATGGCGTGTGACAACTGACAAGGATCCATGGAGCTTTGGCTGATTGAAGTGTGCCGGTGTGTGTCAGCCAATTACGCCATGTGCGTGCTAGCACAGCAGTCAGGTCAGGGATCTACTTTCTGTCAATTTTTGCTGCTAATTATTGGTATTATTATATCTCAAGTTGATTTATCACACTCGGCAGATTCCAGGCCACCATCCATGACTTGTTTCCTTCCGCATGACACCTCGTCGCTCCGGTGACCCAGTCACGTGCGGACGTGCCTATTTGCGTCCTACTTGCACGTAACAATTGGAATATGCACAAACAATCTTTTTAATAAAATGAATATGCATAAAGGCATCTCCAACGCTGATATGTAAAGTGGCTCCCGCATCCGTTCGCGGATAAGGGGATGCGGGAGCTGGCCATCAAACGATGTTTTGTATATGTCCACCAGTAGATGACAATTCGAAATTCAAATGAGCTCTGATCCATAGCGCTCGCCGGATCACACCAGCGCCGGATCAAATGTCCGATCATCACAACCAAAAGAGGCAATTACGCCTAGATTTTACACGCCGGCTGAAAAAAAATCAGTCTAGCAGTCCATGTAAAAAATAAGATTTTCTGCTCTGCCGGATCGGCAATCCGAGATTCCACACCCAAGGTGCCGCCGCCACCATGCCCTCCGCCAGCGGCCCGCTTCTAGTGGTTAAATTGTTCTGGCCTCTCATTATAGCAATAACATCCAATGCTTCTAATTGCTAGCAGGATGAGTTGAGAAGATCCAGGTCGCAATTTCGAGTTCGCTCTTTTGGTATTTCTAATTCTCGTGTTATTTTGAAAAAGAAAAAAAACACTTCACATATGGGTCGGCCCAGTCGCGACCACAGTCAATAATCCTGGAATTCAACCCGCCACGTCGACAATCCTATTTAGGAAGGCTCTGATGGTTCAGAATAGACCGGGATCAATAAGTTTGGTGCGCTGATTTCCGGAATTCATAATTCGGGGTTCGATATAGCTTTTCTCTACAAGTTTAAGGTTTGTTTTGTAGCTTTTCCACTTCAAAATATTAAACGCAAGCTGTATAGAAAAAATGCTTTTGATGTATATTATAATGTTGAATATGTAATGAAAAAATTGGCATGTGCTGGACAAAAAACCCCGATGAAAATCGACAAAGAAACAAAAAGACAATGGAATCGATGAAAACTAAGAAAGTAAAATGAAGAAAGAAACAAAAACACTAAAAGAAAAAAATGAAAAGAAACAAAATAGAGAAGAAAAAAAACAGAGAAACGCATTTTCAACACAATGGTGCGATTTCAGAAGAATGAATAAATCAATCGGCCTCCAAGAGGGAAGGAATAAGGATCCAACCGAACCGACTGCCCATCATCATACCTCAACTCGCCGACGAATTCTGTTGTCTCGTCACTCTTTTGTTGGAACTGCGTCATCAAAGAATGGACCGGCTAGCTAGCTACAGTACGAGGGAGGGAGGGATGAATGAGAGTGTCCACGTACGCGCACACACGGCCGCTGCGTCGACGCACTCCGGCGACAGCTCGGTCGACCCGTGGCACGTGGATCAGCATCCACACATTGACTGGTTGATTGTGTGCCGAATGTGGTTCGTTTTATTTGTAGTTGTAGGAGTACTTGGCCCCAAGCTAACCATAGCTAGCTAGGTTATCGATCCAACGCACGTATTATCACCGGTACACGTCCTCACCCTCGCGAGTCTCAAGTTGGTTTCCAAACCACCACTCATGATTACCGACGACGAGGACTAATCTATAGGCTGGATTAACATGTGATGTAAATCAAAGGCCTATGTAAGGCACTGGCCTATAACTCAAAGCATATATAACCAGAGCCCTCAAATCCATCCCTGGACGGCCTGTCCGACCACTATCCAGACACAAATTGCAAACCAATCGGGCCTATGCAAGCCATCCTCGACGCATCCACGATTGCTGACTCGCCGCAGCTCCAAATGCATCGGGCAATGCCGGCTCCGGGCATGCCCACACGCTAATTGACGGGACGCCCGACCAAGGCTCAGTACATTCTTTGCCCCCCCATTCACACTTGCATTCGTAGATTCCTTTGTCGCACATACCATGGGATCAAACTTGTAAGATGATAGTTAAGTTGCAATGCATATTGTAGAAAAAAGATGTAGCAGATATGATAAATGATGATCAAGAATCTTTCCAATTTACCAACGCCTCAGTGCTTGAAGTTTTTTTTTTGAAATAACCACATATGTTTCATAAATTAGACAAACCGATTACAAAGAGTATACACGTGGTCATCATAAGAGACATACATAGATTTCTTGCAATATTGCACCAAAGACTCCGCAGGAAGTAAAATTGCAATTTCACTCTGGCAGAATCTTGTGCCATGCCGAAACATCGTACACTATCGTCCTCCTCCGCCGCTGAAGCAACGTTGAGAAAGAGGGGAACTGCCATCATACCCAGATCTAGAGGAGCACCTTCGCACACCAGGATGTTTTTCGAGCCAACGAACCAGACCGCCGCAAGCGACGAGATCGAGGCTTTGTGGTACGTCGGCCGGGGTTCCTCCCCATGTCCGCTAGATCCCAGCGTCGTCAACTTCATCCGACACGATCGAAGAAGAAGAGTGCCGCTGCATGCTTCCATCCATGCACCCCATTGCAAGACACCAAACACATCTGCAACGGTCGACACAAACATCACCCAGGAGGGTGTCGTGCGCCGACCATCAGACACAAATCACACCGGATCTGAACACCAGCAACAAGACGGAGCCACCTGCTCCCCGACGCCACCCATTAGAACGACACCGAGATGGGGAATGAGAAGAAGCAGATTATTTCAACGCGGCGATGTCCCCGCCATTGATGCAGCACCTCTGGAAACAAACTAAGCCTATCCTAATGCACAACTAGAGAGAATACTTGGGTCCCCGTCCGCTGCCGCCGGAGCTGCAGACGGATAGGACGAGGACCCCTAGTGTCGCCGGTGGCGAGGAAGGCAAAAAGTCGCCTCCCGATCGCCTTTGGAGAGCAGTTCCAGGAGCGAAAGCAGTTCCGGTGGGAAGAGGCATCCTCAGTGTTTGAAGTTGGGAAAACATCACCGACTAAAAAGAAGAAAGTTGGTGTGAAAGCAGTGAAGGCAAGAGGTCCGACATTTACACAATTTAAAGATATTTTGTTGTGTGATAAGTTGGTGTGATACTAGCATGGATCTGATATGTGAAATAAACCAAAAAGGCGAGAAATATTGAGAAAAAATTCACAAACTTTACCATGAGCACAAACACTATGTGAAGCCACAACCAATCTCTACCAACCGTGTCACATGCTCTTTCCAACATAGATGGTCACTCATCCAAGAGGTCGTGAGAAAATTTGTTGGTTACCTCAAACAAGTTGTTGGCTGGAACCAAAGCGTCGT